CAGTTGATGACGATAACTGCAAAGTCTTTGCAATTTTTCGCTGGGTAACACCTTTCTGATATTGCTCCACTATCTTTCTGCGCAACATTGTGCGAATTGGTGATCCTCTACCCATCTTGGCTTCTGAGAGACACTGCCACTCTGAGAAGCTCTTTTTATAACCAATCATGCTGCCAATTAACCTAATTAGTGTTAATTGGTCTTCCAGCTCTTCATTATGCTCAAATTTACTTTTTCCAGCCTCTTATTGCTACTTGTCCTAACTTTTTTGGGATTTGTTGACACCGTGGAATTTTGAATCAACATATTTTTCCTTTAAAATGATAAATTTTCTTAGTTTAAACTTTTGTTCTTTATGTCCTATTTATGTCCTATTCTGAATAAAATATTGACATTTGCCGTCTCCACATCATTGCATTCAGTTCTTATTCACAATTTGTTTAGTGTCCCAACCTTTTTGGAATCCGGTTTGTACATCTATGAACCTCCTCTGTGCTTCTCCTCTTTTCCTCCTGCCTGACGCCTCCACTTCTTTTAAAAAAAGAAAAAGATATTTGATGTACAGTGTGTTCATCTTGCAGGTTTATACATTATTTTTGCCTGTTAAATATGTGAACGAACATGCTCATAGGATAAGTAGCTTTTATTTATTTTGTGTATGTGTGTGCAGTGAGGACAGGATCCGTAACGGCTGTAAGAAGATTGTGAAGAGCAGACAGGGCAGCACGCAGGGACGTTTGGACTCTTTCTTCACTGTCACTGGGTCTCTGTCGTCCAAGCGAAAGGTACATGTCAGAAAACTATGGTACTGAGTGTGTGTTCCTTTTTTTTGTTTTGTTTGTTTGTTTGTTTTTCTGTGTTTAAAATTCTTTCTATTCCTCTTGTAACTATAAAAAGCAGGCAGAAGTGTTTGACTGACATATTTAATTTAGATCTCGTTATAAAAACAGGAAACTGCTGGTGTAAAGACTCATTTCTTTTCTTAGTCCTGACACTTTCTATACTGCTTTCTTTTTCTTTGTCAGGAACCTGAGATTAAAGGATCAGCAAAGAAAAAGCAGAAAACTGGAGCCACACCAGGCAAATTTAAGAAAGCCAAATAGACTGAATGTATCCATAAATTAATCTGAGATGTTATTGTGATGAGTGATGTTTGGAGTTAAGACAAAAGGAAACTGCTACTGTTACTTTTTTGTAACTTTCTGTTGGATCACCTAACGAAACCTGAGCTAGCTGTATTTTAATGAGTGTTGGACATTTTTATTTCAAGTGTTGGAAATAAAAATAAAAA